GTGCGTGCGTGCGTGTGTGGGTGGGTGTGTGTGTGTTTAAAAATTATTTTAACGGAAATCGTTTAAACGGAACAAAGCGGAAGTGATATTCTGTTGGTTAGTCATAACTCAACACTGATTCATTGGTAGGTCATTTATCGGGATTATTTCCCTGTATAAAGTACTCCCTCATCAAAGTATATTCATCACACCTCCTCACGCATATGTTTAACTAACTATTATTATTAAAAACAACATTTTTCCCCAAGTGGCTAACTGTTTAACTGCATTGTAAAAATAATCATTTACTAACTTACGATGTCAAGAGGTCACCTTATAAGACCAATTTACATATTGAACAAGCACTGCAATTCGCCGGAAGTGGTTGTTGCCTCTGTTATTGTCTTTTTTCATTGAGTGCCCGCGTGATATCCCAGAAATATCGACTAGTTTGCGACATGTGTTGTGCCAACCATAAGCGCATTTGTCGCTTTTATTTGATGGTATAAGGGCGTATCGTCACATTGATCACCAAATTGAAAAACAGCTGCTAAAAAGTTTTGTCTTCGAAATAATAAGGAAATGTAGGTATTTTTTGGGTAGAATAAATAAGTCACTTGCTTGGTATTGTTAGATTTTCGTTAACACTATTTTGACTTGTAACACAAACTAAATATTTAACGCGAGCATTGCTTACTTTTTCGTGCTTATCTGTTACAGTCAATGTGTAAAATGACATATTTTCACTTTGGCAATTTATTAAACGCCTAAATATTAAGTTATTTTACAAATAGACTTAAACAACTGTTCCCTTCATTTATTATGATAACGATTTCCAGACATTATGATGTTTATTTTCATCATCCAGTGACAGAAAATGATAGGATTAAAAGAGAACGAAAATCAAAGCCCATTTCTATATTGTATGGCCTCTAATACGAGCATAGATAGTCTATTGTGATGTTTTAAGCTTTTTTGAACCTCTTAATAATTGCCAGTCAATCTGTTAAATAAAAGGACATATTTTGAAGACAATTTGTAAAATGACTGAACTATTTAGACATTTTTATAAATTGCCAGAGTGAACCACACTTCATACATTGACTAACATACACACCTACAAACTGAAAGGCTTAGTGTTGTCTGTCGCGCATCGAAAGGCTTCCAAGCGAAAACGTCGAGGAACATGAATGATTTTGTTCAGTGCTAAAGCAAATCAGTAAAAACAAAATGCAAAAATTGTAATTACAACCGACCAACGTTATATGTTTAAGAAAGAACATTTGCTCAACCCCCATGTGTAGTGCAATAAAGTACAGTTTTACCCTTAACTCTAGTTAAAGCACGAGGTCGCTTACAAAAGCCTTAATTATCAAACGTGTGTGCCATCTGGCAGACAAATAACTATTTTGACCCCTTGTTATCGTGTTGTCTAGCAAATCGTTCCACAACAAACAAATAACCCGATCTCAAGTGTAGCACTTGTGGGAACTAACGCACCTGTCTGACAATATGGCAACTAATTATTGAGTATAATTTATTCAAAATATCCCCTTCCCATTGCAGGTGTCAATCGAGAGAGACAATTACATTACGCATGTTATGTGAAACAATAATAGTTGAGAATAGAAACCTGGAAATAAAATTGTTGAACCAGACATGATTCTTATATATATATATATATATATATATATATATACACTCTTCAAAAGAAGAGGGGCGGTCGGGTAGCCCTTTAGTTAAAGCGTTCGCTCGTCACACCGAAGGCTCGGGTTCGATTCCCGACATGAGTACAATGTGTGAAGCCCATTGCTGGTGTCCCCCGCCGTGATATTGCTGGAATATTGCTAAAAGCGGCATAAAATCTTACTCACTCAAAAAAAGAAACGCACTGGTAGATGTTTAGTAAATTTATTGTACTTATAAATAAAGTTGATATATTTGATTTAATATCATAGATACAAATAGGAAATGTTGGCGCTCGTTAGTCGCTTGTTGTCGCTGTACAAAAGCATTGAAAACTGTTCATTGTCCATAAGTTTTGAAGGCTCTGCATCTCCTCGGCACTGACTGGATACGTGTACGACTTATGTCCTGCGGAATTCTGCGCCATTCTGCTTGGAACGCGTTGGCCAGTTGTGGGAGCGTCTGTGACATCCCACGTGCACAGGTGTTCGATTGGGTTTAGACCTGGAGATCTCGACGGCCAGGGCAAGCCGTTGATGTATCCATTGTGAAGGTAGCCTGCCGTGACACGAGCTGTTTGCGGTGGAGCGCTGTCCTGTTGAAACCTTCCCCTCTGGTGGTCAATGATGGGAAGAAGGTGAGGTTGAAGAATTTGAATCAAGCAGCGATTTGCTGTCAAATTTTCCTGAACCACAACCAAGTCAGATCTCGTGGTGTAGGATATGGACCCCTCACAATGACACTTCTGCTACCGAAATTGTCCAACTCACGTACACAATGTGGGGCAAAACGCGCATTTCGACGACGATAAACACGTTGTCTTACATCTCGCCCGTGAAGAAGAAATAGTGATTCATCGCTAAACCACACTCGCCTCCAGTTTCTCACTTTCAAAGGTTGTAAGGTCGCAAGCGTCGCTGTCGATCGATCTGTTGCAAAACAGGGACGATAACTGGTCTTCTGGGTCAGATTCCAGCCTTCCTGACTGACTATCTGGTCCGATATCCCGCTGAAACCAGGGATGCGTCCTGCAGTCTCCTTAGCTGTGACACTGCGATGACGTAGGTGGAACAGTCGAATCCAGTTTCTAATCGCAGTTTCCTCAGATGTGTTTACTGAAATGTAATATCGAAGTCACGTTTTTACTACACATTTAGTTCCCTCTTAATAAGGTTTCATTTCTCTGGAGTGAGTGAGTATGCCTTTACGTCGCTTTTAGCAATATTCCAGCAATATCACGGCGGGGGCGGGGCCTTCACACATTGTACCTATGTCGGGATTCGAACCCGGGTGTTCGGCGTGACGAGCGAACGCTTTAACCACTAGGCTACCCGACCGCCCCTATATTTCTTAAAAATGAAACGTTAGTCAGTGACCTTCTTGATAAACATAATAATATGTACATACTGGTATATCGACTTAATAAGTTTCATTAATTCACCGGTTCAAAAAATTAAACAATGAAAGTAACTGAAGCGTATTTGAAATTTCACAAAATTATATGCTATCTATAGAATTTACTCGGTATTCAGAGGGAGTACTCTATGCATGCGCATTTATAAACAGTCATTTGAAATCGATATTCTTTGTAAAGAAATGTAGGGAAAGCATAACAGTGTTGAAAACCTGTATTGATGAGCTCTTTTACCTTCGCCTGTAACACAAGTAAGCGGAAAAAATATTTCTGGTCATGCACTGGACTGGTAACATCTTCCATATGCATACACCTGTGAATTTAATTCATGCATTGAAAAAACTTCATTACATTTTATAATTAAATGGAGAAGATCAGTTTACTCAAGGGTATGTGAAGGTTATTTTATGAAAACACACTGCGACAGCAGTCACCTTATGACCACTCAAACACGGTGTCCCGCCTTGTTAGTACACATTTGCTTTTGTAGTCTAAAGTCGCAGTCTGGACAAGCGTTAACACACATACTTTCTATCTGAAACACACTGCTTTACCGTGTCTCCGTTTCTTAAGTTGACATCCATAATCCAGGTACAAATAAATAACTATTAAATTTTACATACATCCGATACAACTATCAAACAATGTAAATGAGATCTGTTTTCATTTTGTTTGGGAAATGGCACTGAATCACGATGGGAGAACATGTTAGGTTATTCTGTACTTCCTCAATAATTACTCCATTCTTGCAAGATAAGATGTGTATGTAACGTTGTCTATAGTTATGTCAGGATAGTGTACTCTATAGCGTGTTGACGTCAGCTATAAACTTGTATGCTCTATTCATTATCATCCGACCTTTAACGACTTGCATACGACCACCGAAATGCTATGTGTCACGCTAAATTATGCAGTATATTGAAATACTGCAACATACGAATACTTAATACCTAAACGGCAATATCAAAAGTACCCTTGTTGTCCATGTAGCGGGTACGTTATAAACATATATCCAACGTTGCTGACCCGACCGTGTAATACACTAGATCAGGGTTGAACAGATATAAAAAAAAACACCGGTCCTTGTTACAGAATATATGTTTTATTTGAAGAAAGTTTAAGATTATCGTCAACAATTGAAACGGCTGTTAATCCAAGACAATGTCCATACCAAAGACAAGACACGTTTAAAATCACAATCTCCTAACTATGTCTCACGAACTATCTGGCGAGTTTGGGCGATAAAATTATTTTTCAATCATGCTAAATGCATATGAATTAGATATAATCTACTTCTTACACACACACATGTATGCATAGCATTACACATTCAAATTGTTGCTTAGAGTTCACTGGAAATTGTTTAACGATATGTGCAACGCATCTTAATAACTATGAAGGGGTAATAAGTTTTATCAACCAAGTATGTTTAATTGATTAAGATGACAGTAGAGAAAATGTGAAATACATTACATAACATACTGATGGTCAAACTTGTTGAATCTCATAAACCCAAGTTTCACATTCGTTTCAAATTCTGACATATTTAAAAGCTAAATTATACACACAAATAATAATTTATTTGAAATTCTGTCTTACAATACATGTAGTATATTGTAGAAGATATATAAATGATATAAAATTTAATGTGCTTGACAAGAAGTAAGGAGGGACATCTAAGGACGAAGTATGAATAAAGAGTCGGCTTATAGCCAGTTTGACATACAAACGTGTATGCACACACGCCGAACACAATTATATTTGCTGGTAGACAGACATTAAAGGCATCATTTGCCTTGGAATGCATTATTAGCTTCCAAAGTTTAATTGTTCTTGCCTTTTTACAAACTACTCACACACAATTATTCACATTTGTGTTTGTGTCAGGGTATTAATTGCGACACAAAGCTTGATGTTTTCAAATTGTTATCAATGTGCCATTTTCGTGTACCCCCGCAATCCATTTATAATGTATACATCACATGCACGTGTTCATTAAACCTCCTTAACCTCGACAACTGTAAAATGCAAGTAGGGAACCATTACGTCATGTATACTCCAAAATAATGCCAGTCCCTGTCATGTCTCAGTGGATTCATCCCTGATGCTGTCACCATCAGCTGATCACCAGCATCCAGCTGCACCAATCCATGAACATCACTGGAGTACTCCAGACTTGCTCCATCAATGATGCTGTTTTTGTTCTCGCTGATGACATTCCTCAACACTGCTTCTCCATTTTGCTTCAGTGCACTGTACCGTGTTATACTATGATGAAAATCAGACTCAGCATCGTCATAACTATTCATTTCTGTGGAAAACTTCATGTGGCTATATACGACATACACTCCAGTGGCGGGCACTATGATACTGCCATTCTCACACTTCATCCCGTTGTACAAAAGTTGTCTCTCTGGTCCGACAAAAGGTACCCAATTTCTTAATGGTGTGTCTGTAAGGGTTTCATCTGAAGAATCAATATCAAGACGTGCAGCAAATATGAATAATAGATTTGTACAAACCTGACTATCCAATGGTTGTGGAACGTTCTGGCCATGGGGTAAGTTGGTTAAGAAAGTAATTATAAAGAAAAGTTATATATGTGACAGTGTCAATCTTAACGTGATACCTGATCCGACTGGATTTCTTCTTATTTGCTGTACACTGTATAATACATACATATATATACTCTATTTACACTCTATTTACACCGTTTTTATGATATTCATTTTTTAATTCATAATATGAAGTTAGTTTACCATCAGTGTGACTAAAGTCTAGTCCCGGGAAGTAGGTTATAGGCTTTAATAAATTGAGCAATTCTGCTGATATGGTCGGTTTTTCTGCATCTGTAACAAATTGTGGAGAGAGTTTCACACAAACAGGGAAATATTGAAATATGTTATCTAATCACATTAATATCATTCCAACATGTACAACCTGTACAGCTATCTCTGAAGGCGAAGGCGACGATTTGTATCGTGAAACCTTTTGTCCACAATGAAAACAATTATCATTGCAACATAACATTCTGGTGAATGGCGCGAACGTGTTTTCTCGTTTTTCATTTTGGTGTATTCAACTCACTTGTCCGTGTAAGACTGGGCATAGCAATGGTTGTTACGTGTCCCATGTATATCTGCAACACATGACAGAATGGATAACAGTGTGATGTGCAGAATAAATAACAATATACCAACAGTCCAGACACATGTACGTTACTGTTTATTCATTCCTTCTATTTATCATTTTCCTCCTCGCCAATAGTACAATTTGACAATTAGTAATATATCTATGAAATATTATGAATGAAACGTACATCCTTAAGTTTGTACTTACATTGTCGATTTGTTCCTTTGTAAGCTGACCTTGTGATTGCTTTTCGGTTTGTCGTGACACCACGACACCAATAACTGCAATTACTACAGCTATGTTCAAAATAAATATGAAAGCAAATCCAACTTTCATACGTTTGTTCATGATGAATACTAAACTGTAACATCACATGCTCCTGTCTGAAACAAACAACAAGCCAATTAGAAACCAAATCAACTCCTGATTTGTCGGAAATGTTGAGGAATGGCGGACCGAGCTTGTATTCTCGTTGACCTGTTTAATACAGGCATGTGGACAAGTCTTAGCGTGAAATGATATTTTTTTTAATATATGACATGTGGTAACGTTTAATCATTAGACACACACGCACACATATACTTCATAGGTGTGATTCACTTGTGTACAGTAGCACACACATATTAAGACATTCACACAATAATGGCACGACAAAAAAATCTATTCCTATCGATTTTAATGTAATTTTCAGTGAGAAATGCACTCATATATGTATATACATGTATGTTTAAGAATGGACTTTCACTGTATGAACGTCGGCGCTTTTTTATATCACCATTTTTGTACCTCGAAGGATTTAGTTCCAAACACACTTTTAAACAGTACGTGTGCCTTCTTGTTTACACTGGCAGCCATACAACAGCCATCTATAGCGCGTAATGACGTGGTTCCTCAAAAGGAGAGGTAATATAAACGTATGTGTGCTTGCATTGTTCTACAGAAACATCTTTTGCAATATGTTTACAAGAAATATATTCAAATAATATCATCATTGTATGTAAAAGGTCTGTTAAAAAGTACGCAAGTAAGACAGTCACAATGCAAGTTATTTACACCAAGGCGTCAAAATGTGAGACGCGATAAGAGTGACGGGAGAAAGTTGTTGATGAACCTGTGGCGATTACAGGACTAGAGTTAGTCATCATTGATCAATTAGCCGTATTGAAAGGTGATTGTAAACATATGTTAAATAAATACGTAGGTTAATTCATGGATTGCTGTGAACTGTATCTGCCTGCCCTGACACGGATCGAGTCGATGTTACGATAGCTTGGATGACCCACTTTACCTAATATTTGCTAAAACGCTGTATTCAAATTCAAAATTAAACGGTCGAACACACCAGCAACAACGCCTCTTATGTATTCGTGCTGGGGAATTAGAAGAGTTGTCCTCAGTATGTGGAAGTATTCCGTCAGTGTTTACGTCATGTCAAGAATATAGTGTCGTGAAAAAATGTATGAACGTCAAAATGTGACAGAACACACACACACACACACACACACACACACACACACACACACACACACACACACACACACACACACACATGCCAATAGTTTCATTTATGTGTACGTAATTAACAGAAAGAAAAAAATGTACTATGTGATCATCTGTTAACAAAAATCATTTCTATGGATAAGACAATCTCAATCAACTCATGTTGTGAATATTAAGAAAGGAAAACCTTACATGTACTGCTCACTGCTCACTGCTCACTTCCTAGAAGTGTTGATAGTCAACAAACAAACACTTGGTGATATCAGAGAGGGACTTCCCCCTTCATAACCAGCTGTCTCGAATGGCCCGGGACTATGTATATTTCAACGAACATGAATCACGATTCTAAAACGAATGATGATTGTTATCTTATCAACTGAAGAGGACCGACTCCGTGGTCTCGTGGTGGAGCGTGTATCCGGAGACCAGAACAAGGATATATATATTACCTGATTTGTTTTTTCTTGTCAAAGGTTTATCTAATTACCATAAATATAAACATTGTTGTAGGTAACCTGCTCTAACACAGAATATTTAAGTATTATGCAAAATTATGAAAATATTTTATAGCTAATTTCACATCACACGTTCATGTGCCGCCGTAACTGAGGTTGCAAATTGCAAGTCCTGAAATCAAACGATTCGGTTTCGAACCCCGCTGGCGACACATGTTTTCGGAAAAAAAATTGAAATTATTCACTTGTCAATAAATATAAAAAATAGTTTCGTCTATGCCAAGTGGAAATTAATTCAGATATTGGTTTCAGAAAAATAATGGAGCGTTCAAACAATAGAATTACGTCACAGATGTGTTTTAATATTCGGATAACGATAGTCTATTTGTTCTCTTTCTAATTTAAATTTGATCGTTACGCACTAAACATGGTTCTTCATATTCCATCAGCACACCTATCAAACAGTTACCAGCGCAATATTGTAAGATAATAGTATGTCATGTAGCTGAAATAATGAAACCCCTTTATTATTTTAAAAATGTCTGCCTCAGTAGCCATATTGTAATAATATATTGTTTTCAGTAGAAAATAACCATATCCAGCTGCGCGACCAGCTTCTGAATGATAATTCTATTAGTGATGGGGCAATTGGTCGCCAACTCGTCTGTATCTGTTGCTGAGCAGTGTTGTATGCCACAGGCGTGACAGAACCCAATGATCTCAGATTCTTCATATTACGCAAACCTATTTCAGCACCATACCACACTTTCGAAACTTTCCCCAAAGTGGGAGTGTCTAGGACGTGCCTCATTTTATGTTTTCTTCCCCGTCAAGTTGACTCAACGTGGTGTTTCTCTAATGCTAAAGCAGCGTCGTTAAACAACACTCATTCACACTATTAAATGGATTCATCAAAAAGTATCAAGCAAGATGATACATTGATTCATTTACTAAGTCAGGGATTGATATCAGTATGGGTAGCTTTCTGTATTAGTTGTGTTAAAATATGAGGAAACTTGCATTAGTAATAGATTTAATGCAGAAGTTATGCTTGAGCATACGACTATGTCTATCGCATGTTTAGAAACCTCTCGTCTCAAAGCCCGTCCGACACGCTAGATATACACTGCACAAGATACACTGCACTATACGGGGGCAACTTTGCCTCGCTCTCGCATAATTACCTGCAGGTGAGAGGCTCGCACAATAACAACGCGTGAATTTAGGGCCGCTAAGGCTGAGGTGACTGCAAAGCGTGCAAAGTCTTCCTGTGCATCCGATTAGAGAAGTAGGACATTCTACTCCAGCTTTTGGGTCAACATGACCGCGTGATTATATCATATCGTAATATCCAAAATGAGGTTAAATACTATCTGTGTCTTGTCTCTGACGGTCGCCCTATTCACCGCCACTGACGAGTTCTTGTGATAGGTTTTGTTCAGCGTCGAACAAATCTGGGGTTATATATGATGTTGAATGCTCAACAGTGTTGTTCACGTGGTGTGCATTAACTGTATGTGTGTGTGTGTGGCTGCTTCTACTAGTCCAGACTGATGCCGATTTATAGTGCTCGCACACTGAGATACCATGCCGCAGTTTAACATGAATACCCCGCTCAGATACAGCATACTGACTCCGAGCCGACCAGTCCTTGTTTTAGCCCCTTAATGCCGAGCGCCAGACAGGGTTACAACAATTACCATCTTTGAACGTCTTTTGGTATGACGCGGCTGGGGATCGAACCCCGGACCTTCCGCTCTCCGGGCGGACGCTCTACCATTAGACCACGGAGGCGGTCCGCTTACGGAAGGGAATGGGCTCTTCGAAAACGGTTTTACCTCTATTTAATCAAGTTCAAGTATTGTTTGTTTATTATTTACATTAGATATAAAACCTGACTGAGCTTTGTGTTTCAAAGTTAATACGAGAGACCAGTGTTACACATGGATGATGGTCATTGTGACATACAATCAATATATTATATGATTCTGTGCTGAGACTCCAACATCAAGTTGAAGCCGAGGCAAAGCATTGTGGCATGAAGGTTCAATTTCCAAATCTAAGGTTGTTTCAGTCTACAGGATTGATGTGATCAAGCAAACTGAAAAACTGGTGGTTTTGTGGTAACAGTTTGGAAACAGTGACTGCTCACAAGAACCTTGTTGTAATGTTTGCCCCAAAGCTGTCAAAGAAGCATGCAAACCATGAGAAAAGACATTGAATATCTTAGTCAGATTTGGAATAAGAGTTAAATTGAGCCTAACCTGCTTCTGTTGTCTGTTTGATAGCATGGCTGTCCCAATATTAAGTGATGGATCCGCTGTGTGAGTGAGTGAGTGAGTGAGTTGGGTTTAACGCCGCTTTTAACAATATTCCAGTTATATCGCGGCGTGTCAGCTTCATGTGGGAGGAAAGCCCGAAGTGATGCAGGTCTCAGACGTTTACCACTTCGGTGAAACCCACGAGCACGGGTATGGTGCTGACAAACCTTGAAACATAATTGGGGCGAACCGGGATTCGAACCCACAATCATAGGTTTCTGGCGTGTCCAAGGGACGCAACTCTGCACAGCAAATCACGGCACCTTAGTCGACTGGGCCACCCGTGCCCCCCATCCGCTGTGTGACATGGGAGGAGGTCAGTGTAAATTAAAGTGTACACTTGAAGTTTTACAGAATATTCGCAGGTGTAAACACCAGCTCTACGAAGCTGTCAATGGAGAACTTAGTCGTTGCCAGCCTTCGCTGACCACATGTGCAATGTAGTAAAGTCCTGGTTAAAGTTGTTACATATGGCATACCAGGCATCCCGAAACATGTGATGAATGTTAATACCACCTTGATAATAATGAAAGGGAGACATGGCCCACACGTGATAAACCGTTGATGAATATTTTAGGATTTGGTGTGGCATGCATTGGACAAGGAGTTGGAAATGACTCACTTTTCCTATGACAGATGTTAAAGACTGCAATTGAACCTGGGAGATATGTTTTTAAAGATATAAAATGGACCCCTTCGAGTGATCCTCATTAGGTTTGGGTGTGGTAACCATACGTTAGAAGCACACACAGGACGCTGAGCTGGCCCTATTAAAATTATAGGGAATGTAATTGTTGTCAAAGTAAAAAAAAGTTATTACTAATGGATTATAGGGTTAATGTTTTGGTAGTGTGTGAAGACTACGGGAGATTCCATACTTACATCTAACAATGTTTCAGAGAGATCCCTGCTTGTAGGTGATCAGCTGTATGTGTGATGTTTCTCCTCACAAGCCCAAATCACTCTCATTTTCACATTTAGAACTGCGATTTTAAATAAAGTTCCTATTGGTTGTTGTTAAATTGTTAATTTTGAAGGAACGTGTGACGATCTTTCACGTCAACCCCTCGGGAGTATATATAACTGCAGTTATGGACAACATCTATATCACGTCACATATATCAGGTTGAGTGTAAAGAGCGAACAAGTAGGCTACTGGCTACTGGCTACCCTATATTTAAGTAAATGGCATAAGGTAAGAGGAGTCGAGAACAGCTTATATAGATAATAATATTTTTCACTAATTACTTGTGTTAACATTGCAGTCTATAAATGATCTCAGAGAGGGGCCCTCGGAATTACACGTGGGCATGTGACGTTCTTGATTCTTTATCAAAATATTACAAAGTCGAACAAGAAACTCCTTGTCATGTTTCCCTATACCGTGTGCACCTTGCAGGTCGCCATGGACAAGCGCAGTGCACAGATGCAGTGGTGTGTGACCGCTTGAATACATCAGCCATTAACTTCTACAAAATGGTAGAAGCAGATAATCTAGGGAAGAACAAGGAATATGTTTCATTTGTGCTGAACAAAGACTATGAAATCTTCATGTGGGGAAGGGGGGAGGGGGTTGGTTTGACTGTGGGTATCTCTGACGTTAATGTTTGCGTTCTTCATACAGAAAGACTGCGTCCTTTTATCAACACAGGTGCAATGTCAAAGGCTGATTTCTGATGTTCCCCGCATGTGAATCAGGGCCACAGTACACTGACACAATTAGGTGAATCAGGGCCACAATACACTGACACAATCAGGTGAATCAGGGCCACAGTACACTGACGCAATCGGGTGAATCAGGGCCACAGTACACTGACACAATCAGGTGACGCAGGGCCACGGTACGCTGACACAATCAGGTGACTCAGGGCCACAGTACACTGACACAATCAGGTGAATCAGGGCCACAGTACACTGACACAATCAGGTGAATCAAAGCCACACTACACTGACACAATCAGGTGAATCAGGGCCGCAGTACACTGACACAATCAGGTGAATCAGGGCCACAGTACACTGACACAATCAGGTGACTCAGGGCCACAGTACACTGACACAATCAGATGAATCAAAGCCACACTACACTGACACATTCGGATGAATCAGGGCTACAGTACACTGACACAAACGGGTGCATCAGGGACACAGTATACTGACACAATCGGGTGGATCAGGTTCACAGTACACTGACACAATCAGGTGAATCAAAATCACAGTACACTGACACAATCAGGTGAATCAGGGCCACAGTACACTGACACAATCAGGTGACTCAGGGCCACAGTACACTGACACAATCAGATGAATCAAAGCCACACTACACTGACACATTCGGATGAATCAGGGCTACAGTACACTGACACAAACGGGTGCATCAGGGACACAGTATACTGACACAATCGGGTGGATCAGGTTCACAGTACACTGACACAATCAGGTGAATCAAAATCACAGTACACTGACACAATCAGGTGAATCAGGGCCACAGTACACTGACACAATCAGGTGAATCAGAGCCACAGTACACT